GTGTGTGTGTGTGTGTGTGTGTGTGTGTGTGTGTGTGTGTGTGTGTGTGTGTGTGTGTGTGTGTGTGTGTGGCTGTTGCCTAGACACATGTTAAGTATGTTCATCAAAAGGACCCGCAGTGGTTAAATGGCGGCGACTGTTCATTCACTAACCGACATCAAATGTTGGTCGAGGAGGGTTGTTAAACGCGGGATGATGTCATTCGAAGCTGCTCAAAGTGAAAATAAAATAAAAAAACCAGCAGGTGTACATAATGAGCCCCATATGGAATACTGTACGTTTAACCACATGTAATCGATTCTTTAAAGATCGTGTCTGCTTTTAAAAAAATACAGGGTTCAACAGGGCAAGAAACAAGTCAGAAAGATTCTTTAAGCCCCGCCCCCTGGTTACCGTTGCTAGGCCTGAGAAGCTCTCTCCGGAATGTCGTTTACAATGATGACTGACATGTTGACAACTCAAAATAAGTAGACATTTAAGATAGTCATCAAAAGCAGGGTTTCATTAGCTTAAACAGCGCCTTCATTAACATAATGTTATTAGCTGGAATTAATAAGCTATAGTCTACACTTAAAGGAAACATACATGCGTTTCTAAAAAGCTTTATTGCCTTTCCCTGGGAATCTAAATCTGCATCTTGAATTGTTGATGATAGATTTACAAGATATCAATCAATCAACAACTTTATTAATCCCTCAAGGGGCAATTGGTTATGATATATCATTCCAATTTACACGATAAATAGTTCATAGCATCACAATAATAAATAAATAAATAATCAAGTTAAAAGCCTTTAAAGAATTTAAAAGTTTGAGTGCAGAAGGGATGAATGATTTTGAAAAGCGATTAGTCTTTAGAGCAGGTAGAGCATATCTTCGCCCTGATGGCAACAGACGAAATTCATGTGCAAGAACATGACCTGGAGAGTTCGGAAGGATCTTTGCTTTCCGCAGAATCTGTTGGTTACAGAAGGAATTGAAGTCTCTCTGTTCAGGCTGTTCCTGTCTTTCAGAGTAAGGCTATGGAACCAGCAGATAAAAGAAAAACAAATAAATGAATGCTTGGTAAAAACGTAAAAGAATGAAAGGCCTGACAGAGAAAGAGTTCAGATATAACATCAGCAGCATTGTGTTTGTGTTGTAGAGATAACACTGCATATGTGAAAAATGTTTGTAATTAGGTTCTAATGATATCAGGGTTTTTGTCCAAATCTTACTTTCGGTGAGCAGCCTCATATTTTTCTAGAAAAACCTTGTAATATAACCTTGTTTGGATGTTTTGGCTGTGGCAGTAATGCTAATGCTATTTACTGTAAGCCAGTTAGGGGGGAATGCATGGCTTTCATTAGGGTAGACGAACACAGTTAAATTAACTTTTTTGCACTCTTTATGAAGTGATTTTTGAAGTTAGAGGGATTCCAAAACATGGAGAGAAATCCAAGTGAGGCATATTTACCTAACTGTGACAACACTGTTTGCGGATACATCTGAAAGTAAGTGCAACTGTAATTGTGCTGAGCGAACACGTACTGGAAATGAAGTCATGAAATTGTTTCTGTGTAAACTGTTTGGGTAACAATTGGCCTTTGTTTTATGTCGCTATGATCTCATGTGTTGCCCTTTCAGGTTTTTGTTTACGTCAGTCACTTAGTCTCCAAATCAGTGTATAAATAATTTGCTTGTTTGATAGTAATCTGAACACCAGGTAGATTACATTCTGTGTAATAGTACATATCATGTCTTAATGTTACCCTCCTCTGCACAGTGACACATGATGGAAGACCAGCGGTTTTCCCCAGATTTGATATTATAGACATTTATAAGAAATGAGCCCATCTTGTGTTATTGACACACTGATATCTTTTTAACACCGCAGGAGTGAATTACTCCCCCGACGTCCATTAGGGAATACAATCTTTAGCATTTCCCGTTATAAAAAAGAAGCGATGAACAAATATGTGTCAACACTCCAGTGATTTACTGTCCTTAAGATACAACAATACAACCTCTGTTGTCTTTACCACGCAAACATTTTGAAACCAGACACCGCTCAGGTCCGCCTGACAGCACTCCAGGTTTGAGCCTCTGCCACAGAAAACAACAAACTCAAGAGCAAACACGCTCACAGGAAACAATGAGGCTCCTTTTTGGGACGTACACTAAGCATTCCTGTGAAAGGTATGTTTCAACATGCAGCCAGTGTTTGCCCACAAAGAATATGACCCATCATATCCCACAACTTTGCATTCTTTCAACCAAAATTAGGAAAAAATGTAAACTGCAACAACAACTGACGGGATATTGTTTTGGCATCTCTTTAAAGATTGTATTTAGAAGAATTTAAAACGCAAATATGACATTTTCTGGAGTTGTTTGTTGATCAGCTGAAAAGACATCTGACCCCAACCCCCGCAGCAGAGTCAAATATTGACATGACACCCTAATGACACATGCCACTGTCACAGTGTCGTCACTGACAACAACAACCCACTCAAGCTGCCTGTAAATAAGACAGAAACATCCCGAAATCCTCTTAGCGCTGAAGAACTAAACACCAGGCTCAACTTAAATGCTCAGCTTAAGGTGATCAATACGACTTGTGGAGGAAAAGACACCACTCACCAGCAGCTGGTCTCTTTCTGCTCTAACAAAGTCAAGTGTACCGACTGCTGTCTGCCGGCTGGACTGTGACGCAAACCTGCCTTCCTTTCCATAGCTTCAAGGCAGGAGGAGAAAAAAGGAGAGATAGACAGGCGGGCGGTGAACAAGACCAAAAAAGGAGGAAGTGAGCAGGAGGGGGGGGAAACTGGGTATTCCAAGATGTATGAGAACTTTGGAAACCACTTCAAATTTGGTGTAGGAATATGGAAAAGGAGGGAACTCTGGTGGGTGCCAGGGGGTAACACTGGTCAGTTGATATAAGAAGCAGATGTGAAATATGCAGACAAAGGCAGACTTACATTTGACTCAAATGCAAGGATTTGCTGCTGTTCCTTGTTTCGGAATAACAACAAATCAAAATGTTTGGGTCCTGTCAGCCGAACAAACAAACATTCATGAAGTCACTCTAAGATCTAGAAAAGCCACATCTTAACCGTTTTCTGATCGTTGTTACTTACAAATCAGAGAAGATGAATCAATGACCAAAACAAGTCCAACTTAAGTTCTGCTAACCTTTTCTTTTGCAGAGAATGAATGAAAACTCCGACAGCACATGCTAATGCAGCGAAACACTCTCAGCACTTTCATATGTTCTTCCATTAAAGTGCTCTCAGACTAAAATCCATAAGAAAAGCTTGTTCTTTACATTACCCACCATAGAAAGCTCCAGTTTCTGACGAAAGGCAGCCTCTTTGAGTTGTCAGTGGAAGAATCAATCAATATCTCCGGTACACAGCAGGTGGTGAAAGTTTAAGTCCCAAACAGGATCGAAGTCGTGAGCGTCAGTGAGTTTCAAGTTCTTAAAATAACCGAGTTAATCTGACAGACGTGGAGGATTGAAAGAGCGTGTCGATGGGGCTGAGGGGCTGTTTACTACTGCGGTCTACTGGGAAGACACACACATGCACACAGGGTTAAAACCATCAACCCCGCCTATCTGCTCAATCACACACCCCCACAAACACACACACTTCCTGGCAGAGTGATGTAAACTCCCACCAAATCTGAGCTGTTTTTCAACTGAGAAACGGCTAAGTATTCCTTTTGACGTCTGGTTCTGTGGTAATGCAGATGTAAATTAAAGTCGGCAGAAGAAGAACATTTGTGTCAATTAATACTTGTGCTAGACTCCCCTGCTGGATTTGAACTCTGACCCTGAGGGGACAGAAGGTTAAAGAGGGAGTTCAGCTCTTCAAAAGTGCTGACTGGAGGCAGATAGGGAAGTGAATGTGTTTAAACAACCAAAACCCATACATCGGTTCAATCTGGATCCGTTTTGAAATATAACATTTTGACAAGCAGGTTTTTTCTTTCCCTTTAGTACCCTGAATACTAATCTGAAATAAATGCCTGTGGTGGGGTGTGTAATGGTAAAAGATGTAATCAATTGTAGTCGTTTTAAAAAAAAATCCTAAATATTTCAGTCAATAGTTAACGTCCACCTCATTCTATGAACACAGTTGTGTAATGTCTCCTGAGGCTATGTCATATCTGATAGAAAATAACCCTGATTACGCCACAGTGCGGTCTCACCTTCAGAAAATCCTGCAAGCATTCAGAGCTACAACGGGGATTGTGTCAGTTATGTCTCTTCAAGAAAAAAGTAAGTGTAATTGTTCTAGCCTCGGAAACATGAGGATTTTTAGTGGGTTTCAAAATGATAGTTCTTTTTACATTTTTAGGTTTCAGAAAGTTGCTTGCATAAACATGCCATTTAAGGACATCAGTAAGTACAATGGCAATTTCTGTTTACCACACAGGGGGGTTCTAATGAAAAGAGATCACGTTGAATTGTGGGAAAAGTAGTATACAGTGTTTTTAAAGCTTGGGAACTAAAAAAGGGATATATTTGTATATGATCTTTTTGTCCTGATTCCACCAATGCTGTTTGCAAAAAACATCTAAAATTCCCCCTTAAACAAAAACATTCTTTGATTCTAATATGTGAGAATTTCCCGTTATACTATAATCGCCATATAAATCAAAAATGAAAATAATCATCAGTTTCTCCCCTTGTGTGGTATGATATGTGTGTGTGTGTGGGGGGGAGTGTTTAGTGGGAGTGTGGTGTAAGAGTGAGTTTGAGTTATGGCCTGATGTTACATTCTGCTGCGCTGACCGCAAACACTCAGCCCAATACTCTCTGTTCTTTTGTCATTCAGGTCAATCCGAGATGAACCGTGTTTAAATCCCCAGCAATTAGCTAGCTAACAAAAACAATTCGAGCCCCCTGAGGCTGAGGGCCGTGTGTTTGTAGTAAGAGAAGAGGAGGGGGGGTGAAGTAAGTAATGCCCAAAGCCCACCTCTTTTTGTCTTCAAAACAAGGCAACCTGTTGAATCCATGTGTTCCCCGCCACCCCCCACTGTCAGCATTAATTAGGGGGAGGCTATAGTTAAAGCAGCGGACAGCAGCAATGCAATTATCCTCGAGGATTAGACCCCACTGCCACTGCCATTGTTGGCGGCTTGAACACGAGTGGCCTTCCCTTGATGCCCGACCTTGGCATTAACCCTTAGATAACCATAATCCAAATACTTCAAGGGAGAGGTTAAATAAAGGGGGAACAACTAAGGGAAATGTCAGCAAGGATGAGCAAGGTGGTGTGAGAAAAGAAGAGTAGAAAAAGAGAAAGGATTAAAGCCAGATATTTCACCCGTGACGATGCCGCTGGAAGTTCCACGGTTTCGTGGCTAGCTCCAGTTAGGAGTGATTTAGAGCACGCCATAATACCACGTTGTGAATTGGAGATTTTTCAAAGCTTATTATCGCCTCTCTAACTAAGCAGTGCAGGCTGACAGCATTTCATTAAGCAGGGGGTTGTTTACGCTCTAAAAAACACACGGAGCAAACCAACAATTAGTGGGGTTAGCTTCGCATGCGAGGGATTTAGCGGGGTTGTTTTCTCAAATCCATCTCCTCACTGGGAGACTTCTCTTAAGTCTTTGAACCCTGGCTATATTGGTCGGTCCATACAGGGACGTTTCCATCGGAGCCTCAGTCAGGTGCCCTCTTCCTGTTATTCCCCTGTCTGCCGCGACGCTGCTTCCTGACTGGGATGCTCCTGGGGGTTGAACTGGCGTCTCTGGTACAACACCCATCACAGCTTTTGTACTTCCCTGACCAAACATCGTACGTATGGACAGCACATAATTCAGTGTCCTCCAGCTTGTTTGTTATTGCTGGATGCCCGTCCAACTGGTTTTCTTTCCAGTAAGGACTGATGAACAGATATGATCTTTCTTTCAACACTTCAGTGGTGAAGCAACATTATTTTTGAATCATTTTGATCTTTAACCAGGTGTTCATTACTTGGTTTATATACATAACTACCGAAAAGACAAACACTTCATGAATTGCTTTTAAAACGCTTTGAATATAACACTGTTTTGTTGCCAATTAGTTCAACATTTCTAACGGGAGGATTTGTGTAATTTTGTTAAATGTACGCAGTCTGGCTTTAAGATGTGATGCAAACGGATTTCACCAGAATCAACAAGTGTGTGATGCTCCAGATAAAAGAGAAAAATAAACCTGTAACGATATACTCTATGTTGTGTTTTGAATTTCCCCTGAAATCTGACATTTTGGTGTGACCGGATATAAAAATGAGTCACTATTTCAGAGTCACTTTTTTCTTCTGGACTATCATGTCCCGTAAGCATGGAAAAGTAGAGCCTCCTTGATTGAGAGGGAGTAGTGTTACATACACTTATTAAAAAAAGTTATTATCGACTGACGTGTGAAGTGCGAGGCCAGCTGGCACTTGACAGAAAAAAATATCATTACGCAAGACATCCAGTCTTTCCATGAAGACGTCAACTAGGGCAGCTCGATTATGGCAAAAATCATAATCTCGATTATTTGGGTCAATAATTGATATCACGATTATTAAAACAGATTTACTTTGAAAACATCAATTTATTGGAGAAGAAAATGTGAACAGTATGTTTTTAACAGTTGATTACCCTGAACTTTAAGTATAACTCAACTGAAAAAAAAAAAAAAAAAAGTTATAATAATAATAAAAAATAATCGTTTTATTTCGATTACGTTGTTTTCGTAATCGTTGCAAGCCATAATCGTAATTGCGATTAAAATACGATTAATTGAGCAGCCCTAACGTCAACCTTCCTTTTGTCTCACACTGGTTGCTTTCACGAAGCTGATTACTGCATTAAAGTGTGACATAAACAAAAAAAACTCTAACAATGATCTCAAACTAATCCATTATAAAAAAACTGGACCTTTACAGAACGGTGATAAATGGTCAATCAGGAACAAGGTGTTAGAGTGCAAGAGAGGGCCAGTCAGTCTGATATGTTTTCCAGCAAATGAAACACTCAGAAGCAGCTGCCTAGGATCACCATATCTGGTTGCACAGAAAAAGTTTGTAATTTGAATTAATTTGATTCGATATTTTACAGGTCCAAAAAAAGTCTGGTACATTGTACAACCCCCTAGCCAACTGAGCTACAACTCGTGGACTCAATCTGGCGTCTGCAACCAAATCCTTTTTTAGGCATGGCTCTATGGGTGTTTGGAGATCAGTTGGTCTGGCTGTGCTTCACGTTGGTCCAGACTGAAAGATCTCATTAACTCTTAGATTGATTGACACACAACTTCTGTAAAAGCATTCACGGCCACCAGGTGATGAATCTTCCTGACTTTTGTGAACCCAATCCTTTTTTCCTGTCCAGCACCATGAGGTTGACCATTGTGCCTCAACAACTATTGAATGGATCCCAATAATATTTGGTACAGATATCTATATCATTCAAAGGATGATCTGTGATACCTTTGTTGATTCAGTAAATGTTTAATTTAGAGCCATAATTAGGTTAAAAAATGTGTCTAATACATTGGTACTAAAATAGTAAACATCAGAGTGTTAGCATTAGCATTTAGCTTCAAGAACTGCTGGGCCAAAGTACATCATCCACTAAGCCATCATTAAGCTGATAATGAAATCAAGGGAGTTGTGTACTTTACGTAATGGGATAACCATTATAATTATACTTCTGTTAATATTTATTAACCTA